GAGACCCCCCGAGCATCCCGGCCCCGGCTCAGGCCGTGTCCCAACTGACTTTCCCCTTCCATTTCTGCACCATTCCCCGCGGGTTTTGCTCTAATGCACCGAAACAGCCCTTGAGGGAGCTGCTGCTGCTCGGGAGCTTCGGTTCCGCTGCTGTTCCCTGCTCCAAACAGGGCTGTGAGCTCTTATTTTGGCTTCCCTGTAGCTCACAGGGGGGCTGCTGGTGGTTGTCCCCATCCCCTGGGAGCCCAGGCTGGGCACCCCAGTCTCAGGCTTACGTAAGGGGAAGATTCAGGTAGGTTCTTGGCATGAGGTGTCTCTGATTTAACGAATTCTCCTTTCCCTGGCTTGCCAGGCACTCGTAATAATTCCTTTTTACAGCTAAGCGGACGTACGGTAGTTTAGCGCAGGTTTAGCTCTGCAGCTAAAATAAGAATTAGAGGGGTCGTGGGCTGAGCTGGTCTGGGATGGGTTTTTACTGGGGCGATTGCTGTTAGGGATGAAGTAACGCTAAATTCCCAGTAAATGGGGAAAACTACCTATTTGAGTAGGTCAGGGATTAAGAAAGCGCAAAAGATCCTCTGCATCTCTAAGTAAGTATTTAGGCAAAAGGATTTCCTACCTGGGATGGTACCTTGTGGCTCTCCTGCGGTGTCTGGAGCGGCTCTCGTGGTGGCTCTCCCCGGTGGCAGCTGTCCCCAGAGCTGCAGGATCAGGATTATACCTGGAGAAGGTCAGAGAACAGCAGCGTCGGACTTCACGTGGGATCTTGGTAGCAGAAGGTCTGTACGCCAGGCAGCTGATGGATTTTTTTTGAGGAGAAACTGCAGCAATTCAGCTTGCTGCTGTTGAGTGGTGTGGTGCAGGGAGGGTTGGGTCAGTCGTCTCCTGGATTCCTGTGGCAGGTTGAGCAGCTGGTGGAGTTGTGATGCATGTTGCTTCAGAAATGGGCTGGTCCTTGCGATTCGGGAAGGCACCATGAACGACATAACGCTGTGGGGAGCAACTTTGCCTGCTCTGGCTCAGAAGTGGGAATAATTGGGGCAAGTGAGTAAGGTGCTCGTCACGAGGCCTTGCAGCAAGCAAGAACTTAAATGCCGTAGCGAAGTCTAGAAGCGAAGCTTGTGAAGGTGAATCCTCTCACAAAGGGATTAGTGAATGAGAATGACGTTCAAATAAGAGTTACAGCGATAACCTGAAGAAAAATGAGCGTGAGCAGTGTGGACAGCCTGTTGTGAGCGGGGACTGGCAGCCGTGGCCTCACGGCTAGCTGTAGGTCAAGCCAGCCTTTCTATATACTGCAGGGTGTCCAGTTGCCTGGAATGCGTTTGGCGGTGACTGGATATTCCCGTTACCAATTTAGACCAGAAATGTATGCGAGGAGCTGTTTTGACGTGGTTTGAACGGGCAAATGTCCCTTCTACTCCAGCTAGACATTGGAGTCTGTCAGAGGGGGTGAAACCGCGTACCCCCAGCCCAGCTTTAACAGCCTGAAGGTACGACTGTAGCGGTGGCAGCAATTACTTGAGCAGGGGAGGGCACGAGATTGGCTCACGCACGGTGCGTGCTGTGCTAGGCGGTCTCGCCGAGGAATTTGGGGGGGACTAGGATCTCCGGGAACAGCACTCGGTACAGAAGCACGGCACGCTGTGCCTCCCGCGCTGCGTCCAACGAGCCAGCATTACTCAACAGACCTTTTCAATGGCGGAAGCTCCACTTAAGTGGAGCGAGTTCTGCTTTGTGTAAGTCCTTTGTAGCGAAGCTGTCACGTCTTCACGAGGAATGGATGACCGGCTTTCTAAAAATGGAAGCTAATAGTATCTTAGCTTGAAACACGCGCTAGGCGAATGATACACACGGACTCTTGGCCTTGCAGAGAAGAATAGTGCGTACGCTTTCTCAGGCTGCACAGATAAGTTGGTCCCTCCGGCAGTTTTGTTTGCTGATCCCGGCTTTGGGCAGCAAAGCTGTAAACGAAGACTGAAATGTGCTGCTGCACATGATTTGGGGTAAAAGTGCAATAGGCTCGTACAGAGCTCGAGTTAAAAGAGCCTTTTCTGCAGTTGGCATCCGTTTTTCCGGGTCTATGTTGCACAGAGCTTGGATTTGATGGTCCTAACGATGCTGACTGCTTTGGTAACGCTTTATCTGTTGCAGAAATGATGCCGTTGTGATTTCTGGAAGGAAGCTGGCCCGGCAGATCAGACAGGAAGCCCGTCACGAGGTTGAGCAGTGGGTAGCGGCTGGAAACAAGAGACCTCACCTCAGCGTTGTTCTCGTCGGTGAAAATCCAGCGAGTCACTCCTACGTACTGAACAAAACCAAAGCGGCTGCTGACGTCGGTATGTCTTGCGCTCTGTTCCGAAAAAGTGGAGCAAGTAACTGTTTTATCTTGCTTTAAGCTGGAGGCTGAGGGAAGCTTTTTGGGATGCATCCATCTGGCAGCTTTTCACCTCAGCTGCATGGCAGTCCACGTTTGCCCCGGCATTTGCTGTGACTCTTTTGGCTGCCTTCATTGTTGTACTGGGATGTAGTTAATAAACACGATTCACGTGTGCCGTTTGAATCCTTTAGGGCAACATCAAGCTCTGTAGTTTGGATTTGTGGTCTTCCTAGGGCCATATAAAGAACAGGCAGGGCTCTGAGTTGCTTTCTTTCGTCAGCTGCCTGAGATGCGGTCATCGTTCAGCAGCCTTGCTACCCTCTGACTCCTTCCAATCTTGCAAGCCGAGGTCCTGCTCGGTGTTCAGCCAAGTATGCTTCTGGAGAAAATGTGCTGAAAGGGGTTAGGGGCAATAAATGCTTTAATTTTCCCTTGGGTTCCGTGCTGCCAAAGGCTTCTTTGGAGCTGAGGTTCTTAAGTTAACGTGTGTTAGCTTACCGTGTCAAGAGGGACCATAGGACGTGCGGTTGCATCTTCACCGTAGCACACCTTGGTTAGGTTTCTCCAAGCCCTCCCTGCGCTCCGCGGGTCTCTGCTTTCAAATAGTCTTTCCCAGGTCATTAGACCGATACTAATAGTCCGTAACCATAACTCGTAAGACATGGGAAGGTCTCCAGCCTGGAAGGTGCTCGTTGTCACACAAAGCGTGCAATCCTTGGTGCGTGCCTATCAGGTTTGGCAGAGCAATGAAATAGGGCAGCTTAAGTCCGCGTGGATCAAGAAAGTTGCTCTCCCGCTTGTGGCTCTCTAATGCGGCGCTTTCAATGATTGCGCAGGAATCAGCAGCGAAACCATCCTCAGGCCGGCTTCTGTTACTGAAGAGGAGCTACTGGATTTGATCAGCAAACTCAATAACGATGCCAATGTGGATGGCCTGTTAGTACAGCTTCCTTTACCCGGTGAGTAGCTAGATTTCCATCTGTTTCATTTTTACATAAAGCTTTTGAGGGTTTGTATGTGCCAGAAAGAGGAGTAGCAGCACAGGGGCTATCCTGTGACATGAGAGGTGGCACTCTGCCATGATGCAGCTTAAAGAAGTTGATGCAGCTACTCCATCGCACAGCTGCCCGTACCAGTTAAGTTGCTGGGGGTCAGAGAAATCTGTTCCCGTGTGGGGAGTATCAGCTTCCAGAGCCAGAAGCTTGAACTCGGTTGTGACGCTGAGGCTGCCTAAAAATACCCTCTCGGCATTAGCGACGCTGTAGTCCCAAAGTGGTTCCAGTCCCCTTCTGCTGGGAGCTGTTTGCCTTGAGCTTGCTGGAAGTCTTGAGTAGCTTCAAGCTTCCAAACTCCGAAGGGACTGATGCAGCAGGTCAGGGCTCTGGCTGACTGCAAAGAGCAGGTTTTTGGCTGATCCCTGGGGTTAAATCTTTTTGTTCTCTTCCAGAACATATTGATGAACGCAAGATTTGCAACGCTGTGACTCCAGACAAAGACGTTGATGGCTTTCATGTGATAAACGTGGGGCGCATGTGCCTCGACCAGTACTCCATGCTGCCGGCTACCCCCTGGGGGGTGTGGGAGATCATTAAGAGAACTGGTAAGCTGCTGCTGCAGTATTTGGCTGCTCTCTGGCATAACTCCAGCTTGGGTTTGTTTTAAGACTCCATCTTGTCCTCTGCAGGCATCCCAACGCTGGGGAAGAACGTGGTGGTGGCTGGCAGGTCAAAGAACGTGGGCATGCCCATCGCCATGTTGCTGCATACGGACGGCAGGCACGAGCGCCCGGGAGGTAGGAGCTTGGTGGCCCGGGAGCCTGCGTGCCAGGCAGCTGCGGAAGGAAACCCTCTGCCTGTCACGCTGTCCTCTTTAGGCTCCTAAACCAGTCCCTGGAGCGCCTTAGGGACTCTGGCCCATCACGTGGGCTGCGGTCAAGGCTGTAAGGAGTTAACTCCCCATGTAATCAGTCTTGTAACATTTCGGAGCCTTCTTCAGTGAGTCCTTGTCCTCTTCCATCCCAGGTCCCTCCCTCTGACTTTGTAGGCTGTTCCCTGGGGTTTGTCATCAGGCTCTGATGTTCCTGATAAATACACGGGCGGTCTTGAAGGGGAAGATTTAGAGAAGTGGCTGGGGTTGGGTAGTACATGTGAATTCAAAAG